TGAAAAGAAAGACCTGTTGGTGTATCAATCAGTTTGAACAAAAACAAGCAAGCATTCCTCTCTCATTTTCCCCGTCTACCTCCTCACCAACAACTGTCGTTTCATACAGTATGAAGTGACAGCAAAACAGTGAGCTGAATTTTATGCTTCCACACCACCATCATCACCAACACCATACAACAGCAGAAAAAGAGAACAAAATTTTTTTTAATTTTTTACCAGAAATATGACAGATTTAAAAATTTTTATTTATTAAAAAAATTCCTTCTACCCCACTCCCCACCCCCGCTCCTTTCAGTCTCAGATGATAGTAACGAGTAGTATTGTTAGCAGCCCAAACATTATTATTCCAAAAGAAATGCTTCAATTTTATTTTTCTGCACATTCTGATTGTTCAGTAAGATCACCATGTTGAATGGATTGTTAGCATAGTATAAATAATATTTATTACGCTGTTTAACAACAACAACGACAAAAAATGGAATCTTTTTATTTCTTTCTCTGTAAGAATAATTTGCTTTTAAAATTAGCAAAAAACTTCTTTGCGGTGATAGTGATGCTGATGGTGCTTATGATGGGAAAAAAACTTGTCTAATTGGTAACAGCGAAACATTTTTTGAGCATCTGTAGTTAATATTTGATTTCGGCAATACTCCAAATAACATCAGTCAATAAACTTAAATAACAGAAAATAAACGGGAGGGGGGGGGGTAACTGATGCTTTTTTTTTTACTGTTGTTGCTGAAGAAAATCAACATTATCAATGTAAATTTTCTGGTCAAAATGAAGGGTAGACAATGCAGATGAAAAAAAAAAGTAGAAATTGTGAAGCTAAAACGGTTATTTTCAAAGAAGAAAGAGACGTCAAGCACGGGCCGACCAAAGTGAACACCGCTCGGTGAAGCTTGCTTGGGTGACACCGTAGAGTGTGTGTGTGTGTCTGTGCTACACTCTGTCATGTGGATCTCTTCAATCGCTCAACTCTTTTCACCTGCTCATTTTCTGTGCCTGCTAACTCCTGGTCCTCTTTCACTCATGCTCTATCTTTCTCCCCGTTTTCAATCCACCATTCGTCGGCATCGCCACAACCGCCGTCGTCATCATCACCATCACCATCACCATTACTACCACCACCACCACCACCACCACCGCCATCGCCATCGCCATCATCATCATCATCATCACAACCACAACCCTGTTTTGAAGCACGTCACTTCTAGCACCGTTATGCACTAAAGCTTTTTGACGTTAGCTCTAAAAAGCCAGTACCGCTCAGAACATTTCAGAAACTTCGGCCCTGACACATACACACAAAGCACAACATATATGTATATTATACACGTACACATACATACATACATACATATGCATACACACAGTATATGCCTAATTCGGCTGTTTGAGAATTTAATAGAATGTCAGCCTGAAAGCTGAGGAGCCTCTGACTTATTGAAATGCCTAGGTGATGTTGGCTATTTGTCAGTGCTAAAGCAGCTTAGTGTATATGTAGGTACGTATGTGTTTGTGTATATGTGTGTATGTGAAGAGAGCTGGGAAACCGCTTTGAAAGGCTACAGTCCCTGCATATACGTACTCCTAAAAACAAGTCCTATAAGCAAGAAAAAAAAAAAAAAAAAAAAAAAAAAAAA